CCCACTTTTGCCTAATATAAAACTTGATAGGTAGGCTCGTCCTTTTGATTCCTGAATGCCCTCCACACTCTGAGAGGGCAGCGCTTAAAACGTTCTTCAACCATCGTTTAGCCCCATCAGTGAGCACAGCGCATGCTGAATGGTATTCCATCGTCGAGGGGACGTCGCCCTTGTGGGAAGCTATATCCCCGGCAAAGAGGGAACTGATCCGCTCCTTTTTGAATCTCCTCAACATGGAAATCCTTAAGCGTGCAAGACCGCCGTCTTCAACGTTTGACTTCACCTCTGCTAGTGTAGGCAATCTGTTTTTGACAGGCGCACGCCTCTTCAGTGGCAGTCTCGAGAGTGCCATATACCTGCTGGGCAGCATCTGCTCAGTCCCCACAGACGATGTCCGTGTGATTCCCGCTATAAACTCCACATTTTCCCACCACATATCGGCCTCTCTAGTTGATGGCTCAGTCATCGTCGGCCAGAACAGCATTTCCCATCCAAGTGAAGCAACAGCTATCCAGCCAATCCCATCACTCAGAAGACCCAGCCTCCTCCTTGCCGATGGCGACGACGCTTGCTCTGACTCTGATGACCTCCCGTACAATGAAAGCCACCTTCCAGGCTCTCTTCCAACACTGCGCAACAAGAACATAACCTTCAGCAAAACCGGGACAGAAGATCTCCCCTGCCGCATCTCTCGGCTTTGGTACATAAATCCCTATGGTCAAGAGATTAGACCCCCAGCCAACCCCCGTGTTCTAGATGCGTTGTATTCATCACAGGCCATAATATACAGTATCGGCTCACTCTACACGTCTATAATACCTTGCATAATCCTCAAGGGTGTGGGAAAAGCTATTTATAACAGCGGTGCCCGGCAGAAGATCCTGATATTGAATGGATCCATAGACCGCGAGACAGGACCAGCAAGACAGCCCTTCGCGCAGCAGATTTTATCGAAGCCATTGTCCGTGCTGGCGAGGAAAGTCGGGGCTTCAAGTACATCATTCTACCCGTTTGAGAGAAGATAAAACGTCTGATGGTTCACGGACACCCAGGCCAGCAGTTTCCGCTGCCGTATACGTCATAC